TTCAAGCGATACATCAAGCGCAAACCCGTCGGCGTAGTACTGATCATCTTCGCCTGGAACTACCCCTACCTTGTTCTCGTGAACAGTTTAATCCCTGCCATTTTGGCAGGAAATGCCGTGATTCTGAAACCGTCGCCGCAGACGCCCACTGTCGCGGAGGAAGTCGCCAATGCGTTCCATGAAGCGGGGCTGCCGGAGAAGGCGCTCCAGTATGTCCATTCTGGGTCTCCGACGTTACTTGAGAGTCTGGTTCGTTCTAGCTGTGTGAACCATATATGTTTCACGGGCTCCGTGGAGGGCGGAATAGCTACGCAGAAGGCGGCCTCTGATCGCATCGTCAACGTTGGATTGGAGCTCGGGGGTAAAGATCCCGCGTATGTGCGCGACGATGTCGATGTCGCCTGGGCGGCTGGGGAGATTGTCGACGGGGCGATTTTCAATAGTGGGCAGAGCTGCTGCGCGATTGAGCGGGTCTACGTGCATCAGGGGATCTACGATGAGTTTGTGGCGGAGGTGAAGAAGGTGCTGAGTGGGTATGTGGTTGGGGATCCGTTTGATAAGAAGACGCAGATCGGGCCGGTGATTTCGAAGCGCGCGAAGGAGGATATCGAGGCGCATGTTGCTGATGCGGTGGAGAAGGGGGCGAAGGATGAGACGCCGGAGAATGAGTCGTTTGAGAATCCCCCGTCGGAGGGGAATTATGTTAGGCCTACGTTGTTGACGGGGGTTACGCATGAGATGCGGGTTATGACGGAGGAGACGTTTGGGCCGGTGATTCCGGTGATGAAGGTGGAGGGGGATGAGGAGGCTGTGAAGTGGATGAATAGTAGTGAGTTTGGGTTGACGGCTAGTGTGTGGACGAAGGATGTTAAGGCTGCGGAGGAGTTGGTGGAGAGGGTTGAGGCTGGGACGGTGTTTGTTAATCGGTCGGATTATCCTAGTCCGGTGAGTTTGTGCTGTTGATGTTGATGATATGGAGATGTGCTAGTGCTAACGGTGGTATAGGATCTGGCTTGGACGGGATGGAAGAACTCGGGCCGTGGAGTGACGCTCAGTCGGTTTGGGTTTGAGCAGTTTGTCAAGTTGAAGAGTTATCATATCAAGGACTATCCCAAATAGAGGGGCATTGCTTTCGTTTGTTGTTTTGTATTTGATTTGATGTGATTGATGCCTTGATGATCGATAGACCCAGTCCTGCCATGAACAATCCCATTCCAATGTCAATGCCAATGACAAACCCACAATCGCGTAAACTCAACATAAGCACTAGACATCCTTCAGAGAAACGACAAGAGGATTGCAATGCCAATGCCACACACTAAGTGGATAACTGCATTCGGCCCCCATCCCCATCCCATCCCCCAAGTAACCAGCACTAGCACTAGCATAGCACCAATACCCACCGCGAAAACACCACATACCAGTCAGCAACTAGCCAGCCAGCCAGCCAGCCAGCCAGACGGTACGGTACCTAATAATCTACTCCGTAGAATATGTAGTTGGTTAATAACGAGAAGAGAAGCCACTGGTACCGCCCAACTATGAAGGACCCTGGCTAAGAAAGACCGCCGTATGGCCGGAAGAAACTGCCGGAGGCTGGCTGGCTAACTGGCTGGCTGGCTGTGAGTTCTGGGGCTGAGATAAGATATTTGTAGGTATTGTTATTGCTGCAATCATGAGTTTGAGATGGGAGTTCTAGACATTGTAGTGGTATGGGCGGGGGGTGGGTGGTGCATTCTTTGTGTGATGTTTTGCATTCTTCGGGATGGGGATGGGGATGGTAGGGTTGACAAGGGCGTTGTACAAAGTACTCAGTAGGAAGGAGGAAGGAGGACGGACTATGGAGGGGAGGTATTTGGATTGAATTGATTTGTATGGCAAAGTTATAGGTAGAGTGCTGAGGTATAATAGTGAGATTTGAATACTACAGATGGATGAAGATATTGAATTGGACTGTATAGAGGGATGACTATAAGATCTCTTGCCTCAGGCAAACAAACAACCATCCATCGTAACTATTTACATGACCCTATCCTACATCACCAGCACTACCTCACACTCACACTTAATTAGACACAGCTACAGCTACAGTAGATAAGTCTAGATAATGAACAGACCCTCAAATTCATCTCAACTAACTCACCTCAAACGAATTCCCCATCTTCTCTCTCCCCACTCCACATCACTCCACTCCACTCCCTCATCCCCTACAGATAGATAATATCTCCCAAGAATGCTTAACTTCGCTACCTATCACACTATTTACCCGCGGGATCAGCGGCAAATCTCTCACCAGTCAGTTACAGAATCCCGAAAACTGAAGAGATATAGGCATTGTTCTGATGCAAGGGATACACCTGTTCTTCCCTTTATACTGTGTACCATACGGAGTACTTGGTATACTACTTACGTAGTAGGTATCGCCACAATACTGTACATCCCTTTATCTCTTTTTTTACCTGTCTAGCTGGATACTAGGTTGTGGGTGTGGGATTGAGTTTCTGGGGTAAGTTAGTCACTTTATTAGTTACTTAACCTATTTTCTGTATTCAGGATCTGGTAACCATGACAAGAAGACAGATATGTACGTAGTTAAGTTTGTAGTTGTAAGCAGGGGATAATACTTTAGGGGGAGGAAAGGGGGGGCGCCGGAAGTATTCTTAGAATGTTCGATGCATAACTTATTACCCTTGCCCCAGTATGTATTACTTACCTACCTATTTCTCCTTTCTATGATTTTCTTACTCCGTAGAGGGTGGAGGGGGGCTATTTTTATTCTTGTTTTACTCTGTATACATTGAAAAGTAAGTAAAATGAAGAATGTGCCGTGCAACGGAGTACATTACATGTACATACATGCCTACGTTATTCCCGGAGTATCTATTATCTATCTATCTTAGTATAATACTTACTCCGTAGGCAAAAAAGTATCAATAACTATATCCAAACTATTATTCCCATTGTTGCAACTTGCAGTATTTCTATTCTGGGTAACCCGATGATAGTTAGGTTACTAACCCCGAAAAAAGAAACAAAACAAAATGGGGCCAGCCAGCCTAGCTAGCCCGCCAAGTTGGGGCCGATCGGTGATCCAAGCCACCACCACCATTTCCACTTACCAACACTTTAGTCTAACCCCCATATGGGGATGACGAATGCACAAAGTTAATTCATCGGTTATAAGTTACAGTTGTGTAATAATGGCGATTATAGTATTCTATAGTATAGCTATGTATATAGCATGGTTTCATGCAGTCAGCATTCGGTGCAGCGGGTGGTTACATACTTACATACGCCCTATTTTGGGTACCTACAGATGTGGCATATGTAGCTTGCTTTGTGGTGTACATACGTAAGGCTTTCGGTGCCACCTAGACTATGCTATAGTATAGCCAAGTAATGTATGTAGGTATGATTGCCCAACAATTCTTCGGAGAATATCGCGTCACTCCTTTAGTCCGTCCAAGTCAGAAAGGGGAGTGAGGGAGCAGCATATTTGCTTCTGTGACGGATAAAACTAACTAACTAGTATTACTCGCCTTACTAGTTGAGCTGGACCTGCCAGGGGGGAATGTGTCACCCGCGGCGCGTAACTTACTAGCAATGCTTCCAATCAGTTTCCGGCACATAACATAAGGCTGTCACTTTTGTGTGGATATTACTCCCCCCATTCAAGGGTAGCATAGCATAGCGTAAGATAGTTGTCGTGCCACAGAATTCCACCCGATCTGCATTTCAGATTTGCACGGGCGAAAAACCGTTTGTTCAGTTTCCAATTTCGAATTGGGAAGAGGGCCGAAATCGAACTTTCTTCTTTCTCCTCCTCCTGCAGGGCGTTTCGTAGTTTTCTCCATATATCTAGACTTGTTTTCTCTGACCGGTCTTTTTTCTTTCTTTCTTTCTCTTCTCTTCCTTCTTCTTACTTCTTCATCTTCTGTTCCTTGTTTTTTAGTATTCTTTTTATTGTTTTTCTTTTCTTGATGCGCCCAATGCCCTGCTGCTGCTGCTAACTAAGAGCTTTTTTTGTTCTGCTGCCGACTAGTCCCTCCTTTGGTTCTCACTCAGTTACTTACTGACCTCACGCTCGCTCACTCACTCGCTCGCTCGCTTCTTGTGTTTCGTGTTTCGGTGTTGCCGCTCGTTTTAAACCTAAGCCCTACATACCTCTTTGTCACTCGTTTCATATTGTCACATCGCCATTGTCGTCATCGTCATCATCATCGTCATTGTGATTGATAGACAGCCACTCGCTTTTTGTTGATCGATCTGCTTGTTGCTTGAACTAGCACCATCTTTGCTTTTTTGTGTTTCTTAATTGGCATCGGTCCCTGCCTTGTAGATAGTGACCGATCTCGATCTCTCCTTCATTCCCACCTAACGACACTCGCTCTTATCATCATCACAACTACCACCACCACCAGAACAACAAACACCTGAAGTCACTATGGAGTGTTTTCGGCAGATAGCTCGACTTGTCAAGTCTCCCTTTCGGCGCGAGAAGCAGCAGAAGGTGCTGGAGATTGTGAGTTCAACTGCTTATGCTCCCATGATGTTATCCTCTTGCTAATGCGGTCTGCATTTAGGGACCCCCAACCGACTTTCGTAAAGAGGAATTGCCCGCGTTCTTCTCAGATGACGAGTCAGTCCCCTCATATCCTGACTAGTCTGCTACCCATCTAACCATCTGCAGTGCGGCAACCTTGCACAGCCGGGGTTCCACCCTAGAGAAGGAGAAGGAAGCGGCGGCCACCGCCATGGAACGTCAACCATCGACACGAGACAAGATCAAGACGCATGTCCGGAGGCTGAGCGTCCGGGTTGCGAGACCAGTTTCTGATGCCCACGATGAGCAATGAGCCGATCGATTCGATGCCAGCTGCACATGCCGGTTGCATATCAGCATCACATCAACATCAACATCATCGACAGTTTATCTCGTTACGCAAGCATGGAAACCTCATCATAAATTCTCCTCTCAGCGTGAATCACGGTCTGCAACGTCAAAACAAGAATGTTGGAACTTCATTGAGACGCGATTTCTTTGCCTTTGGATCCGGGCCTCGTGGATTTGGTGCTCTTCGACCTAATGACGGGGATGATATCGGGCCCTGCATCTGATTGCTTGACCGAGACGGCTCTGGAAGCCCGTCAAAGTCATCATCGAATATTAATCTCTTCTTGGATCTGGTCGCCCTCGGTGTACTGTATCTACCACTCATAGACTGCACTCTTCTGATTCCACTGTCCCCTGTAGATCGATTATTCATCGGGCTGCTTCGCGAGCTAGCAGCAGTAGGCATAGGCGTAGGCGTAGCAGTACGATGCTGATGCTGTACACGACTCGGCCCCGTCAGGGTCCTCGTCCGTGCGTCTAGATCGTCGTCATCCGTCGTTTCATCCAGTTGATCGCCGTCCTCCATCGCATCCTGTCGCTCCCTTGCCGCCCCATCGGTAACCGCGCCGCTCCCTGCTGACGCCCCCAGTCCAGCAGCCGCCCGCGTCGTCGACTTGATACCCTGCATGCCGACTAACGACCGCGCCTTTCGTGGACTAATTAGCAGATCATGCAGCGACGTACCCGCCCAAGTATCATCCTCCTGATCATCATCATCCTCCTCCTCTTCCGAATCTATAGCAGGTCGTCCACCCTCCACCATCTTCTGCAGCCCCTCCTTCTGCTGAGCGGACAAATCCTCCGCCGCAGCCTTGCGTTTAGCTTCCTCGCTCTGCGCAGTTACGCCATCGGTCGGTCGAGCGATATTCTGTATGGTGGTGGCATTCTGCAGCTTGGCCTCTTTCTTCCGTCGGACGTATTCTGCGTAGTGTAGGTGTTGGGTGAAGGTTTGCGCGACCGCGTAGAATTCGTCTTCGACCATCATGTATATGTCGTCGTTGTCGAAGCCTTCGCGGAGGTATCTTCACATGTTATCAGCCTCTGCAATCTTTCCAAATATATAGCTATGGTATGATTACGTACTCTTCAGACGGGCAGCGATGGATGGGAGAGGACGGCGGCGTAGGAGCTATAGCAAGGTGTCAGTGACCTCAATATACTTAACTTGCAAAGAGAGTCAGAGGTAAGGTACATACAAGACCGCATGAAATCGCGCTTCTTCATCCTCGACCCTGGAGTCATCGCCGCCTCGGCTTTTGGTGTCACATCGTTTTCTTCTTCTTCTGCTTCTTCCTCCTTGGCTCTGCTCTCGCGCTTCACGGTTCGACGCGGTGTATCTGAAGAAGAGGCCTTTGGTTCTCGTTTGATTGTTGTCGTTGCTGCGTTCATCAGCCATGGTAGGTTGCGGGGCATTTCGTCTCTGGTTAAGATAGTGCTTATGAGAAATTAAACATTAGTTGAGTATTAAGTGAGGAAAGTATGTATGGAAATGAATAGGGAGGATGTGTACTCCGTACTGGACGGACGATGGTGGTGTCTTGCGACCGCTGATACGCGGCTTCTCCCCGCCTCCGCACGGATTGGTTATCTAAGTTACTTTAGTTGGTGGAGATCCACTTGTCAGCCTCATGTTGTTGATATGCTTGTCTGTTTGAATGAATCGTTGATGATTGGTTTTACATGTGTGAAGGGTGTCTCTTTGGAAAGAGGCTATTATTTCTGTGGGATTTGTATTGTGGCCATTTTAGCAATGTGTGCTCTGCAAGCAGTACGACTGTCTATAACCTACGACTTGTCTGCCTCATATGGTGTAGCGGGTATCTGATTTCAATCTATTCTAGTATCACCATAGCAAATCCATAATACAGCCTCGTATGCTAACGCGAAACGCCGAAAATATGATAAAGCCCCATATCGAGCAGCTTGCCATGGCCCTGGCAGAAAGAGTAATCCACATGAAGAGGAAAAAAGTGAACGAACAACGCCTATCAGAACAACTGGCAGAAGGAGAAGAAATCGAAGTAAATAAGTGAGGTAACGAGAGCATCAGCCGATGACGCAAAGTGAATATGCTTCACCCTTACGCTTCACCAGGCCTCTTGCTATTGCAGCTCACAATCTTCACCTTATCCGCGGAGACCGTAGTCTGGTTGTCCAGCTTAAACGTAACATCCTTGATCAGGAATGTCCACACTTCATCGCAGAATCGGTAGGTATCGAGGTGTCCCTGTGGTGGTAAGAAGAGCTATGTCAGCCTCATTCGCCTCCTTCGTCTTCCTCAGACGCAGCCTTCCTTATCCTCATATGTAAGCGTACCTTGAAGGTCAGACGAGCGCGCACTTTGTCCGCCAGCACTTCTGTGATCACGCGATCGAAAGTTGAGAGGATCTTCATGGCGAGCTGAGGCTCGATCCGTCCTTCGTTGATCAGGTCATCGAGGGTATCGGTCAGGGAGAGTCCGAGGCTGTTACACAGGGTTAGTGGTAATTCCTGACATGTAGTCGCAGATACTGTCGTACCTGCTCCCGCGATAGAGCTCGTAGTATGCCTGGGCGCTCATTGTGAAGTTGGCAGTGAGGCGACAAGGGAGATTAAGAGAGTGGAAGTGGAGCCGGTGATTGCGATCAGTTGGTCGCGGGGGGTATCTGCACGTGATCTAGATCATGTGATGGACAGGAGCCATTACATCAATGGCTGGGACCAGCAGGGTCAAGTTTCGACATTATTCTCAGTCAAAAGGTTACCTTTGAGGTTAATGCAATGAATTTGTCTTCAATGTTATCATCTCCACTGCTTGTCCGGACAGCTCGTCTGTCGAACGCTTCTCCCGGAGCACGGTATATAGCTTCGACCGCTTACAGACTCGCAGAAACAAAAGGTCAGTAAGATAGTGAATTCAAATTGGATATATCGTTCCCATTCAAGGCTAATCGAAATATAGCTCAAGATTCGTCGCACCAAAAGCAATCGAATGATGCATCAGATGACCAATCAGCATCGAAGCTCAAGCAAGATAAAACCAAAAGCGTTGCTCAGGCGGATCAAGAGCTCCGAGAGCGACTCGAGCAAATGTCTGGCGGTGGTGGTGCTTCGGGAATTGAGTATGAAGATGGAAAACCTAGCGCCATGAAGCGCAGCGTACGAAACAATATGTTCCGCTATATCTGAGCCGGAGAAGTGAGCTACGTCAAGGAGCATCGCATCATGTCGGGCTGTGTCGACAGGGCCGTACAAAGCCTACGATGGCTACTTTATCCATAACAGCTGTTAGACTGAGTACAAGTCGAGGCGTTGGCGACTGGTGGTCAGCTTAGCTGAGCTAGGGTCGCAGTCTCTGATTTGACCGACTTGTAAACCCTCCCAGCTGTGCTAGACATCTCCTGACAATGATGGACGGCGCTGTGCTCCATCAGGAATGTTGTCCCATACGAACACTGGACGGTGCACAGGGAGGCACGTCAAGAACCATACTAGTCTGGTTGGATGGATACCCGTCAAAAGTCTGTCAATCTCTGCTGCGTCCTATGTATGATAGTGGCCAAAGGGGCATAAACAAGACCAGGCCAGCATCCGCTTGGAAAGGACATGCCTGCATGTAGGCTCTATATACCATGACTACAAACCATAGACTCCAATAAACGCTCGCCACCAATCAAGGCGCCAATATTTTCCGCTATCAGTAGTGTGATGAGGGCCCTACCTAATGTTCACCTGTTGCCCACCATTCCTGCAAGGACACCAGCACCAATGACACCGCCGTCCGAGGCTTCCCGTAAGAAAACCGACTTACCGCTCTTCTGCGGGCCGGTCCTCATGATAAGCCTGTCAATATATTGCTGGCATGTTTCCTTGAAATTGGGGTAATGCTGGATGATGCCTCCAGTGTACGCCACGACCAGCTCCTCCGGGCCTGACTGCCAGTCCGCGGGAGTGGGAGTGGGAGATAGGACAGGAACAACCCTACCATCTCTCGGACTTGCTCCCTCCGGGACCAAGGATGATGGGGAAAGACTAGTATTTACGGCGGCCAGATCCGGAGTGCCATTGTACTCAGGCAAAGAGACATTGGCATTCTGCGGCGAACCTTCGTGGCTGTCCACTTTCAGCTCAATCTCCTGCGCACAAGCAAGCAAACCCACAACCGCTGCGGCTATCAACCCGGCGGATCGTCTCTGAACCGTCCTGGCGATCTTGCGAAATACGTTTGCCGACACAGCATCCCAATGCCACTCGCTGTTCTCCGGCGGAGGCATGGAGCGTGAAAGTTCATCGGCAAGCTCCTGGTCCGACCGAGCACGGGCAACATTATCCGAGACGTAAGTTGTCGTCAGGGCATACTCCTGGATGAGGGTCGCGGGCAATACTTTCTTAGACAGCCCACTTACATTGGTAAGATAATCATATAGGATAAGCCGGATGAGCTCTCCAATATACCGACCACCCGTCAAGTATTCGAAAGGCTGGAATCCGGGTCGCGCGCACGCCCGATCGAGTTCCACATCCCATTTTGTTATGATGTTGAGTTCCTTCAATGGCGGGTCGGCACCCGCGATCGTCCATTCGGTGTTCACGACCGTCTCCTCCGCCCGCGGGTCCTTTGATTTCACATGCTTCGCCTTGGACTCATGCAGCATATTCAAATTCATGGGAATTGTGGCATTGCAGCCGGTACCCACAATGATGCCCATAGCTACTCGACTATTGGGCAGGGATTTGACAGCATAAGCAAGGGAAGCAAGTGTAGCAACTGTATCGTTCGTGATAGCTGCTATCTTGAGTTTTGGGAGTTCAAAGAGCTTCCGACGTTTGCTTGAAGGCTCCGACTCGTTATCTAGGCGCCTTGTATGTTTCTCATACCCACTCAGGAGGATCTTGCGCAAGTCAAGGTCTGACGTGATGGCGAATCCTTTGCCCATTGGCATCAGAGTAGCCTCCGTAAGGGATTCTTGCCTGTAGTTGGTCAGATGCAAGCCACACCTTGTAGCATCGCAGCGGAGAAAGGGACACTCACATTATCGGGAAACTAAAGGTAATTCCCATCTCCAATTCGTCTGGAACATGGCCTTTTATGGATTCAGAAGTCAAGCTTTCCGCCACCACTTCCGCAATGCAATCCCCGATCCAAGAAAAAAGATCCTCTGCCTTGTCCATCTTTAGGTGTTCTTGTATAGGCCATGCCCTCTCAAGAGTCCGCCTGACACGCTGTCTCTGCGCCCTACGAATGGTGTCGCGCGATCTTTCCGACGCGTCTGTGGAACGTGTGTCTGACTCTGTAGCCTCCCCCAGTAGTTCGATGAAAGCAACCCGCAGATTGGTCCCACCCACATCAATGGCCAGGTATCGGCCTGTCTCCAGGCCAGAAGGTAACCTAGTCACCGGTGTCGGTAAGAACTGCTCCTTCGAATGAAGGGCCAAATCCCGGTATACGGTGGAAAACCGGCGCGCAAGTTTATACAAAACCGCTTCATCCAAAGCTATGGGAGACAAGTATTCGTCAAGCACGCGCTGGCGCTCCAGATACTCTTTTTGAGAGGGGTCCAAGTCAGCGGTGTCCTCTTCTTCATCCTCCACCGGCTCTTCGTGTAGATGTTCGTGCTCATCATCCCTGCTTGTACGCAGATCTATCGAATTGATTGGGGCCATGATGTGGAAGAGGCTAAGCCCGGCGGCGAGATAGGCAAGCAGTCGGACCGTGTGACTTGCAGCCAGCAAACGGAGGTATTTTTGTACAACGGAGTGGTAAGTCGGCGGAAGGAAGTGCTCAAGGATTGGCTTTATCTACTCGCCCCTGCGGAATGTTTTGAAGCGAAGGTAGGACGGGATGTGGGGGAGATCAAGAATGAGGATCCAGCCTTGGGACGATGATAAGGTGCATGCGAACCGAGGATACCACGATGGTAAAAGGATAGCCAGGAAGTGATTTTGAATTGGGGGGAGGGTGCGCTTAATGATGATTCACTTCCGTAATGGCCAGAGCAGGAGCGGTGAGATGTTCAGGGGAGGGAATGAGGGAGGGGGAAGTGTTATCTTGCAGGTAAATCTATACAGTGACGAGTGCGATGGTCAGTCTCAAGGTTACATACACTGATGAACAACGGATGGTCAGGTCTCAACATTGTCGAGTGCAGTGACGCGTGTCTGGCAAATAGGATCATGGAGTCACAGAAATGCTAAGAATGGTACAACGGTGACGATCCTAATGCAGGGAGACATTGGGTAATGCACTGCAAGAGCAGGGGGACAATGTATTCACTCGGAAGGGGAGGGAAGAGGGGAGGGGGTGGGAGCGCAAAAGTAACAATGACACGGACAATGACATACAACCAAGAAGAGTTGCGCTGGTGGAGATCCCGCAGTTATGCTCGTTCTAAGCCCCGAAGTTAGAATAAGGCTGAGCCGAGGGTCGGTGTTGATAATGAAAAATAAAAGTAGTTGATTAAATCAACCAAAATCAATCAATATATTTTTTGTAAAATATCGATAAATCAAAAATTCTTGGGAGGTATGCTCGTTTAAGGATGAAAGAAACGGGGATCGACGGAAGAATGGCGGAACCCATCAATTAAGTATTATGATCATTACGACAAAAAGTAACAACTGAGCCAGCAGGTGGATAAGAGGAAAGCATTGCCGGGTCTCCACACACGGGAGAGAGAAAGCGATGAGGGGAGAGGAGGAGTAAGAGAGAGAGAGAGGGAGGGAGAAGCGAGAGGGAGAGGGAAAAGTAGCGAAGAGGTGTATTTTGGAGAGGTCGTAATTGGGGGGAAAGAAAGAAAAGGGCGAAGACTAGTTACTACTTAGTGACTTGCTAAGTTACTGCTAAGTTACTACTAAGTTACAAAGGCAAAAACCTCCAGAGCCGCTGGGATGGAGCCAATGCGACCATCGACAACCAGACGATGTGACGCTGGCCGGTCAGTCGACTACCATGGATTCGTCCGTTGGCTCGATCGGGGCCCCAGTCCGGGTCCCTCAAGGTAGACCCAGAGATTCAATTGCCCATTCCTGGTCTCCCATTGATTGATGATGATGGGATTCTCCTGCTTGTTTACTCGTGCTTTTTTCTATTTTTTATTTTTTTTTTTTTCTTTTTTTTCTTTTTTTTCTTTTTTTTCTTTTTTTCCTTCGTCGTGGTTATTTCCCCTCCGGGGCAGCGCCGTTTCCTTCTTCCCTTTTCCCCAATTGATTGACCAACGTCACCTTCTCCTCTTCTTCTCTCTTGCTTCCTTATCGGAGACGCCGCTACTTTAGTGCAAGTCCAACTATGAAAACAATGGTGCTGTTTTCCCATCTCAATTATCTATTCTGTTCCATTCAGGGAATTATCTCCCTCTCGTTCCATTACTTCCGCTTACTACTTTTCTCCCTCTACTACTCCGCTCTGGCTACTACTGACCATTTCTATCTCGAGTAATCATCCATTTTCTATTCGGACAAGTCCTCATCGATGGGTATAGTAGGGACTTTCTGGACAACTTCGAAATCTCTCGGTGTTTTTCACGAGCGACAAACGCGCCTGTCTATTTCACAAATAACTGGGAAAGAGATGGAGAGCCAAAA